AAATGGATGTAACATGATGGAACTATAATTGTTTGTATATATTCAATGTATTATATTATTTCAATAATATTATATAATATTATAACCATTGAAGAAGTATAGCCATTGTATAATCAATGGGAATATTCCCTCAGCCCTTACCTGAAATGGCCAACTCGGATTTTCACCATTGTTCAACTCCCGAGGTTCCAACGGCATTTCGGGGCCTTTCGGGTTGAGCCTGGCGCCCAGGGAAGGGAAGATATGGGAAGATCATGTCCGGGGCAGAAAAAACCCACGAAACATGGGGAACGCACTGTGAATAATGGACATGTCGTTTAAAAAACATTCACAGGATGTGTTTCTTTTTTTGGGGGGGATAGAAGCAAGCCACGATTGGGGATTGATCATCAAAAGTTTTCGTCTTAGCCATCAAACCCTGCACGGTTTAGTGATGTTTACTGCCAAAAATTGAATTTCTTTGGGACCGGCCCCCTCCCCTTCCAGCCATGCCCAGTCATCCAAGCTGGAATTTCACATGCAGAGAGTCGGTCACTGTCACCCCAGCTACGTAGTCACTATGCATGCAGATACCTTGAGCCTCAACTTGTTCCCCCCAAAAATGTGTTCCCTGAAATTTCACAACACTTTATATACTCAAGCTCAAGGTAGTTAAGCTGGTGCCCCCAAATATTGTGTTTCTTGGTTTATGAAGCCACTTGACCATACTTACAACCACTAATCACCCATTCAGCCCTCTTAATCTTGTTATAAATCAGCTTATAGCTAATGAACCGGAGCACCATCTTTACAAACTCCGCTGGCAGTGTCCCGCCCTGCAAGGTCCACCAACAGAAGAGCAGAATGAATCTTGGTTCACGGCTGCGCTCGAATGAAACATCCAAAAAGGGGTGGGGTTGGGCTTCTTATGGTGGCAATAGACAGCAGAACCTTTCGTTCTACAAACTGAATTTGTCAGATTACATGATTACATGTGCAATTTCAGAGTTTGCTCCTAATTTTGTTGCCTCTGTTCTGAGTGGAAACAGTGCATTTCCACTTGAAGAGCGGTAGCCTTGCTTCCGCGCACTTGGTACATCTTGGTACATTTATTTTGGTTTGAAGCCCCTGTTTTATTTCCATTTCTTTTAGACTTACTTTAATGGCAAGAAACTGTTCTTTTCCCAGAAGTGAAGCCATTGAAATTCAGAATGATCATCTCAGGCCCAAAGGCCCAAAATGTTGTATTGTTGGCGATATGATATGTATGCCGTTAATTCCCACAAGATATCAGCATGATTTTGTTGGCCTTATCCTTCGTCATGTCCATTACTATCATATAAAACTTGTTGTATAGTGCATACCGCATCACATCTCCATAATCTCCCATTCTCTCCCGTGCCATCCTATTGTACAACACATTTTTGTTTGTTAAGTTATAAGTTCCAATTAGATCATCATTTCTTAATTCTGAATCTCCATAGTTGTTGCTTAATCCCTCATTCAATAATGTTCAATATACAATCCCTTATCATCCCTTGAAATATCATCACATATATATATATATCCATCAATATCCACTGTCCATCAACAAAACATCAGAAATCACGGTGCATCCACATCAATCCCATGTAAATCCACATGTTTGATGGTTAAACCTTTATTTTCGCAGATGAAATCCCATGATATTCTCCTATGAAGCTGCCATGTTTGGTCGTTGAAATCCCCGCCTGAGGCGCCTCAGTCCGAGCTGGGCGTAGGCGAGAACTTCGGGGTGGGGGGCGCCTTTGCCAAGTGGGGCGCGGTCGGAAGCCCAGGTGTTCCGCGCGACGCGGACTGCGCGACGTCGCCAGGATCGCCATGAAAAATGCTGATTCCATAGGTTTCAGCAAGAAATGGGGAAAACAACATGGAATTGAGTGATTAAACCAAGATAAACATGGTGATTTATAAGGATTATAAGGGGTTGATTACTATATATATAATTATATATATATATATTTATTTATTTATATGTCTTTCCCACCCTAAAACTCGCTGTTCTGGGATGATCATCCCAATTTGATTGGCAGGTACCAGGTGGTACCCCCAAACCTTGATTGTTTCTTGATTTATGAACCCACTTGACCATACTACCCTCTGGTAAACTAACATAGCTATTGAAAATTGATGATTTATAGTGAATTTACCCATTGAAAATGGTGATTTTCCATAGTTATGTTAGTTTACCAGAGGGTATATCACCATAAAGCCTAGTTGATCGAGTATAAACCAAATTGGCCTGGCTAAACGAATTGGGGCATCACCTGGTCTATGTATATACCATTGTATCCCGATTCAATATATCTGCATTATTTCCTCAATGTCATTTATCATATTTCACATGATACAACCATGATTGACGGTGTTTTACCAACATGTTTGTAGCTAGCATCATTTTAATCAAACATTGTGATGCAACAAAATCAACGATGATGAGGTCCCCGTGTCGCCCCGCAACTTCTTCCGGCTGCTCCAGCGCAAGGAGGCGGGATTTGTCGAGGACTTGGTGAGAATGGGAATTACAGAACTGCTTTTAAGAAAAACAATGGAATGTAAACACCAGTCACCAGTCACCAGTCGCTGAGGATAGGTGTGGATACCATCAATGTACTGCTTGAGAGATTTGGTACATGCCTTGTTGATAAATCCGAGCTTCCAAGCTGCAAAACATAGCCAGTGACAATTGAATTCGATTTCGCTTCCGTCCCAGAACTGGATGATGGGACAATTTTCGGGAAGCGTTTAGGTCGGAGGATTAGATTACAAAAAACACATGGTTTGAAGTAGATCTTCCAACCAATCCATTGATTTTTTTGGGGGGGGGCCATCTCAATCAACCTCCGCGAACACGTGTATAAAGCAGGCCGGGATGATTCCTGACGTTGGCACGGGATTTGAAATGTCAAAGCATAACAGCTTCCCAGATTAGCATTGACCAATGTAAATAACACTGTTTAGTTTAACAGAAACTGATAGTTGCTAAACATGGAGAACACATATCACAGATTACCCTTTGAATCCCTTTGGCTATTTAGCATAGACCCTGGAAATAGCAATTTTTTAGTAGAACTAAGATTCCAACCTGCTATTTGTCAGGGTCTATGTTCATTTTGATGGAGGGTAAAGATAAAGGCTTTCCCAACATTGAAGAGTCCATCACAGTCAAAATGCTGAGGAGTTCATTTTACTGCTGGTTGGTGGTTTGGAACATTTTTTAGTTTTCCATATTGGGAACAATAATCCCATTTGATTTTCATATTTTTCAGACGGATTGAAACCACCAACCACTATCATATTACCATTATATTATTCATACGTATATTATTACTATCATTACCATATTACAATCATTATTACCATCATTACTATTATCATAACTATTATCACTATTACCATCGTATTTTTACACTATATAGAAAATATATTATAATATATAAATGCCGAGGAATTCATTTTACTGTTGCAGGGAATTGCAGGGATCATCCCTCCACGTGGCGACTCGATATTTATCCGAGGATGTTTGAAGATTGCGGTTGCGGTTACACATATTTATATTTAAATGCACACACACAATATATATATATACTTGATGTATATAGATACCATTGCCATTGCAATTGTAATCACAAATATGCATATCTACTGTACATATCTTACAGAAATATCAGGCAGGAGTTTCCATACTTCCCAGATGCTAGGGGAAACAGCCTTATGAATGCATTTTGGTGTTGCTTTCGCCTCTGAAAGCTGATGCAGTGGCCAAAGCAAACAGCGAACATAACACCTCCATATCCCCAATGTATTAGCAGCTGGATGAGGCTTCGAATGCCATCAACTTCGCAGCGGTTTCCAACTTCAAAATAAGTTTACCTATCAGTTTAGCAAGGAGGACCTTGAAAATGTTCATCAGCTGCTGGGTGAGATCGCCCTGTTCGTTTCCGCAACTCTTCGGGCGCGGCGTTCCGCCTGGCGTTCGGTTGTTTCTGCTGCTGCAGCCTCCAGGCGCGCGGAAGGACTGGGTGGTGGTGGATGGCGGCTGAAGTTGGGCCAGTGGTTATGCTACTGGGTTCCTGCCAGGATATATATATAATATATGTATATATATATGCACATGTATGAATACATAGATCATAGGCATCAATATATATATATACACATAGATGCATATATATATATATCTATATGTATTATATATGCATACAATGATATTGGAATTATGAAGTTCATTTTATCGGTTCACCCGTGTAATCTACTAACTCCAGGCATCGTCCAAGTAGGACGTGTTTAAAGTTCCTGGGCACCCTGGGCACTTTGCAACTCCACGTGTGTAAGATCTTTGGACAACGCCAGTGTGCAGGCGCAATTTTATTGTAAGCCCAAACTGCGATAAACTCATCATCACTTTCTCGATCCCTTAGCTGTTCATGGTGCATTTCAGTGAAAGGTACACTTGTAGCCAAGTATCGGATCTTGAAATTGATGCACCTCAAAAATGACTTCCATGACCCTATATGGAGTCTCCCTTCTCGATTTGGTCAGGGGCACATGTACTATGAGGTGCGCGTAGGTGCGCGGAGATGGTGGGTACGGAAAGGCCTCCCAGCGACGGTGGACTCCAAGGAACTGAAAGGGAATGATCTGCCTGGCGGTTTAGTAATCCAGAGTTGACATTGTAGTTGACATTCTACCGGTCAGTTATATATTGAAGATGGGATGTCCTATATCCATGTTTTGCTCGTTTACTTCACTGAAAAGTCAGTTTGACTTGCACATTTCATAGTGTTTTTATGTGGCCAGCTCATTTGTCACAACCCAATTCAAATGGCTGCCCTAACTTGGGAGCCCCCCAAACAGTGGGATTCCTTTCTAACATGGAGTTTTTCTTGGGGGTGTGGTTTGACTTACAAAACTTGCTACTGACCATGTGCATGTGGCAAGTTGGGCTCGAAACTCCTGTCACTGACCTGTGGTGTGTTTCAATGGCGGCTCTGCTCGTGGCTGTGGTCTTGTGTCGGGTGGCAGCAGCCCAAGACTGGGCTGCAATCTATGAGAGTCACTGGGCCCGGACCTGGTCGATTGGTTTCGGGCCCCTGTTGTGGAAATGGGTTGTTGAACGACGACGATCTTATCATGAATTTTCACGAGATTTTGGGATGAGTAGCCAAGTCATATAGTTGTGAATTGGTTTGAACATGTTGTCCGCAACCTTAACGTTCGCCCAGACTCATGTTTGTGACATAACAGAACAATATGTTGATAGGGGAAATAATATCAACTTTATCTTCATGAGGGATCAACATTCGCCACCCCCTCTGAACAATACGTTGATTGGGATAATAACACCAACTTCATCTTCACGAGGGATCAAAATTCGCCACCCCCTACGACCAATCTTGAATGGGATAATAACATCAACTTTATCTTCATGAGGGATCAAAATTTGCCACCTCCTCAGAACAATATGTTGATTGGGGAAATAACATCAACTTTATCCTCATGAGGGATCAAAATTTGCCACCCCCTATGACCAATATGCTAAATGGGGTAATAACATCAACTTCATCTTCATGAGGGATCAAAATCAGGAAGGCGGGACATCAACTCCGGGCAAACGTCCAGGTTGCAGCGAACATTGAAAACGAGGGTGTTAAAGTTTCGACCCAGTGTTCTGGATGCTTCTAGATCCTATAGGTTCCTTTTCTTGGGGGGATGGAAAAGCCCACTAGCATCAAATTTAAGGCTGGAAATCAACTAATAACTAATAATTGTGGCAAACCCATTTTACTTCAACGACCCAGGGATCATTTTTCATTATATGTTGGGTTTACCACATTCTTGCCATGCAACTACTATCGTATAGCGAATCCCTTGAACTGTGACCCTTGTTTTGTCGGATTTGTTTGACATGTCAATCCCACTCTTGCTTTTAAGACGTTTTAAGTGCCTGTGATCAATTAGTGATACCGAGACCCCATGCCGCAACTGCGATTTGGTTTGTCGAAAAATCACTGCTGGGGGGCCACCGTCACCTCTGGTAGGTGTTTAGACATACCCTCGTTGATTGTGATTTTTCATGGAATAAAGGCGGATGGACGAAACAGAACCACACGCTATAATCTAGTGGCAACACTTGTCCCACGTTGTCCCCATGTTTTTGGTGATGTTCTCATTATTTCCATTCGCATGTTTGCGCGTGGTTTTCCCCCCGAGTTTAGCTGGTTCAACCCCAGTTCTTGCAGGTCACGCGTCTCCGGATCCCCGTCGAAGCTACGCTGCAATCGGTCGCATCAGTTTGAGTTTGGTCCGGCGCGAAGCAATGATAACCCCTTCGGAAATGACTTGGGTTTGTGCAGAAAGGTGGTGTCCAGAAAATACTCAAATTATTGGCTACTTGAATGACAATATAAAAAAAGCCTTCCAGAAACCTTAGCTCAGTATAGGATATCTTCATGTTGGAGGCTCAACAAAATGTGAATTTGCTGCAATACATATATAGAGCATATATATATACATATGTTATTTAAGTATAGTTTTTTGTTTAGCAAAATATTGATGCTTGCAGTAATATAATAATAGTAACATAGATAATATACACTTACATATATAAATATATAGTTATACAGATATAAATATAATATGGCATAAATGCACACATAACTATATATATAATATTATAATAGTAGTTGGATGGGGTCATACCTATCTTCCCTGTGTTGAATTTGCGCTAAAGCCACATCATTGCGATCGTGATATCACCATGTTCAACCGATGCGTCCGGTCCTTGCGGCTCGCAACGGCTCAGGACTGAACAATTTGCCCGATGGTTTTGAAATCAATGAGACCCTGAACGGCAGCATTCCCCTGACCATCGTCCCTCGGACCGGTGCTGGTGGTCCCTCAACGTTACGGGAAGTTCGGACGGGGTGCGGGAATAATTTTGAAGTGGGACGATAGAGGCACATGAAGTGTTACATTCCGATTTACCGTTGTTTTAACCATAGTTGTTTATAAATATTGATAGCATTTGATAGCTACTTTATAACGTCCTCATGTTTGAATGTAGGTAGCAGGTTATTGAGCTGCTTAGCTCCATTGGTGGTGGATGTACTCTTGTGGGGGCACCAATCGTTGAACTTCCATCAAATGGCAATCAATCCATGTCATTAAACGATGTCTCACTTTCAAATAAGAACCGCATTAAAGATACCTGGTTTAGCCCAGAAATTTAACGAACATTGCAATAGTAGTAAGTCGTTTGGGACCCCAAATATTAGGCTCAACAGCCGAGCACATTTTTAAAATTTGGAGAGTGTGTAACCGCCATTGGGCGTGTTGCCAATCCAATACGCTCCAACAGTAATCAGACATCTGCTCACCCATCCCCTTGAGAGATTTCGCTCACTGAGCACCTTCTATTCCATGGAATATCGGAATATCCAAGCGCTTACCAACCATTCACCAGCCATTTACCAACCTTTCCCCCGGACTTGCGACCATCTTCAGCCATCTTCGACCCTATAGGTGCCATCCTGGGACATTTTCCTGGGCTTCAGCGATAAGAAGAAATACATCAAGGGCCGCATGAGCATCGCCACGATCTACCCTGAGGAGGCCGCCGTGTTTGTGACAAATCCGGAGACCCACGGCGGCATCAAGGGGGGTTTACCACCAACACTTGAGAATTGACAGCGAACAAACCCAAGGACCAGGAGATTTTAAGCATGAATGTTACATATTGTAAGAACACACATATATATATATACAATCATCATAATACATAACATACATTTGTAATTTTACAGCCAAATATGCATGCATAAATGCATGTGTATATATATTTATATATATATATATATGTATTAGATGCTTCATAGATATTTGCATATGGATTATTTGGCAAGTTTGCTTTTAAACCATCCTAAATTTTGCAGGCATGAACATGCGTCATTTGCAATAGCTGGTTGTAATATGACATATCTACTAAAATACTATAGACTAAACATTGATTTCACCGTTTGAAGACCCAGGTGCATATGTGTATATGTCAATGTCCATTTGCATTTGTTTTGCCATATTATTTATATATATATATATGTGTCAGCATCAGCATCTGTGGTGGTGAACCTATGCCTATGCCGGTTTGCACATGTAAATGCAGGTGCGTGTAACATAGTCTATTGCCTATTTTTCCAGGGTTGCTCCAACATAACGGCCTTTGACCTTGCTTTGTTTGTGTGTTTATGTTGCGGCAGCGTGTTTTTGCACCTTTCGCCCCCGAAAACTCAAATGGGTGTATATAGTTTCTGTTGTGTTTAGAGCCAGTTCATGCTATATGTATATAATATATATATATATATTCAAACGCTCGGATCGCGTCTTGATCAAATCGAACGAACAATAGGACAACCCAAACGTCCAAAATCAAAGAGAAAAGTGACACTTATGGCCCGCGCATGACGATGTAAATGTATATATATATATATACGTGTTGGTTCATGTGCACAAGTTACACAATGATTTACATCATACACTGCTGAACTCTTAAAATTTACCTGTGGCTTCGTTCACCGTTCTTCGTTCCGTCGCTCCAGGAACATGGTCGATGTGCTGAACTTCGGCAGCGGTAGTGGTGACATCAATGTCATGAGCTCCTTGAAGATCTGGGATCCCAAGAGCGGCAAGACGGCCACCACTGTGAGCAAGACCTATGTGGGCGAGTTCAGTCAGTCGAACTTTCCATACGTTCCATGGATTTAACGAAGAATGGTGGAAAATGCCATGGGCAAATCTTAAGAAAGTCGTGGAGAATGGGGAATTTCATGATTGTTCCATGCAAAATTTGGTGGAACATGCGTAGAAAGTGTTGAATCACTGGCAATTTTGTCATGATTTTAGCCAACATGGTGATTTAACCAGCCAAGAATTAGGGTGAAGGTTATGACATGTTATGCCATTTCCAGGCTATAAGCCTTGTGTTTTTCTTGATTCATGGCACCGGGAAATACCTGGTGGCACTCATGGAGCTCAATGGCTTCAGAGAAGGGGTTTTCCCATTACCCGAAATGGTAAACATACAAAAAGCGACATAGAAAATGGCCCAGTCGAAATAGTGGATTTTCCATGGTTTTCCCATTAAACATGGTGATTTTCCATAGTTATGTAAACGTTTACCAGAGGGTAATGGCTGGAGGGTCATTGATTTGGCATATGTTGAAGAAGTTGAAATTCATGTAATACATGTAATTGATATGTGGGTTTAAGATTGTTTAAGCAGTACAAGTCCGGTTCCAGCAAAAGAAAAATAAGACATGGATATTTGTGTATGCCGGCTGGCGCACGGTTGGTGAATGGAATGGGTCGAACTGATTCGAATCGTGGCCAGAATGGACTGAGAAATTCAGGGCTACAGGGCTGACATTGCTTCAAAGATCTTCCAAGGTTTGCCACAAAATCTAAGATGAGCACAACACCACCATGTTGGATAAAGGAGTCCGTGTGCACAACATGAGGAACAGTATGACCATCCCAGAGAGTAGGTGGTTTTGGATGGTCTTGGCCTCGAGGTTTGGTGTTTCTACACCTCCCAAATGCATACACCTCCCAAATGGTGCATTGCCAAGTTCGGAGTTGGACATCTACCATGACAATCGGCTGTCCTTTGCTAAAGCTACAGTTTCTCATGTTTTCGTTGAAGCTGTGGCTCTTTGCGTTAAACAAATGCCACTTCATGACATCTATAAAAGATGCTTACGATTCAGAAAACGGATGTGGCAGTCTTAGGTTTCTTGGGGCATCTTGGGGCCATTTACCTTCCGGTAGTCAAACATACCCCACTTGCAGATGATTATGCCATTAATATTTCCATTTAGTTCCTAGATTTACGACACAGCCATGTTTGACGACTCCCACGGGTGTGGGGTGCTGCGTGATGCCTCCCCGCCACCAAGAACTTGTCATGCTATCCCTTTGACGTCAAGACGGTGCGCTTCCAGATTGGTCTTCAGAAACTTGGTCCAAAACACCACGTGATGTTGGGATGCTGTCAACAGCACCGGGTTTTATCATGTTCTATCATAAAGATTTATAAAGTGTCGTCACTCTCCATGATTCAACTCGCAATGGCAATGTTTCTTTTCCAGTGCTACTTCTTGAGTGCAGTTGGGATGTGGTTGTGTGTGGCATGTTTCTTGAGCCAATCCCCTTGACTTAACTATGTGTCCCGTGAGCATCGGGTACACCAACCATAGCCTTGATTGTGAACATCGGCACATTATTGGTGAACTGGTTCATATACATGTTCATGTACATACATATGTACATATACATATGTGTTTGTGCATGTTGTCCTCCTGCTGATTGATTGACAAACAAATTGTGGTAGCCCTGTTCTTCGATACCCATGGCATGCTGGCAAAGCTCACTCAAAACAATACACCTTATTTGAGCAGATGGTGTCACAGAGCATGATCATGCCCGTTTCACCCTTACTCTCAAACGTATTGTATTCTCCTTATTCTCTTGTTTTTCCAGTTAAAACCACCATGATCAATCATGTTCTCATTGTGTTCCTCCCGTTGCTTTCCCCATTGATACCATCCTAGGATGGCGATAGGCGAGGTTGCTTAACATGATAAGTCACCAACTCCCTAACACATCTAAGTAGTGGTTCAGTCCCAGTTTGGCTCATGATATCATCATTTTGGTTGGTTAATGAATCACTATCTCGGCTACTGAATCAGAATTTTGCGTGGTAAACTTCCCATTTTCATTATTTTCCTGTATTTTGAACATGGCAAAGAACAACCCCTGACTTATTGGACGATTCTTCCACTAAATTAAAGGCTTCATTGATTGGGGATTTCGCAGCCATGTTTGATCACCCGCGATTATATAACAACCATGATATCCATATAAAACAACATTAAACTACCATCGAACTTTGATGCTTGGTGATTATCTCAGTAAACTTGCTTCCATGTTCTACCTGTTTCTAACTATCACCATAAATAATTTATGATATACATTACCAGTACATCCAATGAGATCCTTATTTGTTGCTTAAATCCTGTTGAATCAGTATGAAATCCAATGAAATTTCAATAATTAAGTCTTCACTAAACTTTGTTTATTAAATCTCTGGCCAGGAAAACTGCCATATGAACCATATTGAACCATCATTGAACACATATATAAAAATGTTAACCTATATTAAACCATTTTAATCAATATTAAATGTAACCATATTAATCCATATGAAACCATATTATATAATCCATAACCATATTATATAATCCATATTAAACCATAAGAAATCATATTAAACAATCGCATTAAGCCTCCAATTGTTGGGAGGAATTCTTGCCAGGAAACCTTGTGGCATCTTCTACCGTTTGAACCTGGGCTGCGCAGGCGAAGGTGCGCGCCAGGTGCGAACCTGGGAGGATGGCACTGTGCGCACTTGCGCGTGGCCGGTGAATAGTTCCATGGCGAACATCATGCGACTAAAGCCGTGCCTTACTCGTGATTTAACGGGCTTTAACCGACAACAATGATGATTAAATGAAACTTTCACCAAAAAACAACGGTGATTTAATGGATTTACCAACAACAATGATGATTTAATGGGATTTAACCAGCAACAATGGTGATTTAATGGGATTTAACCAGCAACAATGGTGATTTAATGGGATTTAACCAGCAACAATGGTGAATTGGATTTAACCAACAACAATGGTGATTCAATGGGATTTAACCAGCAACAATGGTGAATTAATGGGATTTAACCAACAACAATGGTGATTCAATGGGATTTAACGAGCAACAATGGTGATTTGATGGGACTTTAACCAACAACAATGGTGATTTGATGGGACTTTAACCATGAATGAGGGTGACTTAATGGGATTTATTGGGGGTGCTGGGCGTTTGAGAACAACTGGCCAGACAACTATTTTCTAGTTCAATGAATTATGATGTTAATTCAGCCAGGTAGAATGGTGATTGAACCAAGAAAAGTATGGATTTAAGCATCAAGACTGGTGATGTTTTAATCCTTTTTTTGCTGAAGATGATTTTGTTCACCATTTTTCTACCATCTCGAAGGCATCGCCGAGGTAGTCTTCTGTTTTTTCAAAGAGGGCAACGGAAAATCCATCATTTATAAAATTATGAATGATTTTACCAATGAGCACTCGAATTTATTGATTTTTTTTCGGGATTTCCAATTGCCACGCGCCGGAGGGTACATAGATGTTTTTTTCCCCCCATGGCACCCTGAACAGCAAATCCAAGGTTCCTACGTGGGCTTCGACTGGGAGGAATTCAGGCAAGGAAGTTGGCGCCAGTTGTGATGGGACAAGGTGAATTTAGTGTGCAAACCGGTGGGTAAATCAGTAAATGTTCATAGCTGATACAATAGTAATTAAAGGTTATGTCCTAGTTGATTATAGTTAATTCAGTTCGTTACTATAGCTATAACTAATCCATTACCAAGTCCATCACCAGGGTAAATGTTAGTTAGTACCTCTGTTCTAGGAATTTTGTGTTGATTCAAGCACCCAGTTGATCTGGTGTTTTGGAAGCGCGGTTGGGACTCGGGACTCGAGGTGACCCCATGTGAAGCCAATGACAAAAATATTGACACAATCTATTCACCGCACGTGACCATGGCATAGATCAAGAGAAAGAGTAAGAATAAGGATCGTAAAATTGTATATGTTTATATTTTCAGATATATACATATATATATATATATATGTATATATAAATATATTTGTTTAAACTTCACAAAATGGGCATGATCAACCCCAATCAGCAATGTGGCTGCTTAAGGCAAATTATTTTTATGTGCATCGTTCTTTTTTTGAGCGCAGTTTGGGAACCTTCACGTGGGAACCCTTTCTTTTACCAAAAAATAATTCCAAAATGATCCAAAATGAACATATCCTGGAATTAAAACAAAAATAATTCAATCATTTGTTTGGGGAGAGTGACCTTGCTGAAAAGAATCAGATTTCAATCTCCAGTTGCTTTCTGAAATGGTGCCCAATGATCAGGGTAATACCACCCATTTGGTGCTGAATTGCTGCAGATTTGGTTCATTTGCCATAAACCATCCCCAATTGGTAGCTTTATGGCAGCCAGGGTTAGCCACATGATTCACCATCCAGTTTTGCGGGTTGACATATTTTGACCCATACCCATTGTTGCAGGATCAAGCCCTAGATTTCCGTGCAGCTGGAGATGGTGTAACATTCATCTCTTCTCGGGCGATATGTTCAGAGATGGGTCCTTCATTTAAATGTTTAGTTGGTATGAAAAAACATTGAAAAACAACGATTGGGGTACGCATTCCTGTTCGTTTTCGAGATATTTGCAGTGTGAATCCTTCCGGTTAGGATCCACGCCCTGCCCGGGCGGTGGTGAATTCACCCCAATGATGGAGGGAAAAGGGAAATGATAAGCAGAAGAGGGTTACCCTCCGGTAATCAAACATAGCCACGGAAAATGATCATGCATAGATGATTGCTCATGTTTTTCTGTTTTTTTTGTGCATTAAAACTTTGATTTATATATATATAGGGGATTCAAATTGCCACGCTTGATTGCCAGAGGGTAAATGGATATTTCTACTCATTGCTGCTTCTATCCTGCGACAGCAACCTTGATCATCGATCATCATCCCAGCCACATTGGCCAATGAGCAGGTGCGAGTTGCACAACAACGCCACCCTGGATTGCGAATCTGCGCTGTGCGGTTTCAGCCTGATGTTCTAAACAAACTCAAAATTGAACAGGAGAAAACTATGGGAACACTGCCACTGCATTTTCAATATATGATCTTCGCTGTGTGGGGTGTGGAGAATAGTATCCGAAACTTGTGCCCCTTCTATAACCATCACCAAATACGACATGTCTCCCAGCTCCCTGTGTTGTGATCAAACATTGCATGCGTGCAATCAGAATATCATCTATGCATGAATGTTTCAATTGGCTGTGTTCTCTCAAGGTGAGACTCCCCAGTTCCAAGTTGGTTAATATACTCCCATTCTACCATAAAAAAATCGCTACCGTTCGGTGGTCCCACCTTGTAGCGAGGAAGATTTGAATAGCGGATGAGGAACTTTGGTGAAGTCAATGGATTTTGGGGTTATAACTAGCAAACGTTGAGACATGGGTGTGTCTTCTTGGTCATGTTCATAGGGAAATTATCAACAGCAACTGGACTACCACCAGCACAGCTCGGGCAGGAGAGGTAGAGAGAGAGAGGGAGAACTAGATTTGGAGGGTTTTCCCATGACTTTCAGACACACCAGATGGAGTTTCAACCCAGTACTGTAATATTATATATATGGAGGTTTCCTGAAATATAGGTACCCTTAAATCATCCATTTATAGATGGATTTTCCCTTATAAACAATCCATTTTGGAGTACCCCAATTTATGGAACCCCCCATACGTTTAATTTTGGGGTCAAATCCTAATTCTTGTTGATTGATCTATATCCATTAACTAGCCAGCACCATCGCCCAGGAAATGACGGGGACCCGTAAGTGGTCCACCCTCTTGCAGACTTACTTGTGGCCCTCCATTGTCTATGGATTGATGGGTTTCTGGGTGCGTTTATTCTGATGTTAATGTCAGTTACAGTACATCCTCATTTGCACCGGTTAAATTCGGACTTTTCGCTAGTTAAATCCATTCTTTTCGGGTAATTTCAGAACAGTTTGCGTTGGTCATATCATATTTGCGTGTTTTGATCACATTTTTGTCATATCTCCCTTGGTGCTGGCTGTGTTTTGTCTTAGTTGAATTCCGATGATTGCTGGCTAAAGCCAAATATTTGCAAGATCCGTGGTTTTCATGGCCATGGTCTTTGTAGACAGCTAAAGTTCATTACAGTCCAATGTTTGTTGATTCAATCATGTTAAATCCTCAGTCTTGCCGGTTCTATCCAACATTGTGATGGTTAATTCACGATTAAACCATCGTTGTTGATAGTTCAACCATCATTTATGTGTGATGCTCAACTGAAATCATCAATCCACATTTTTGGTGATTACATCCCCGTTCTGGCTGGTTCAATCCCAATGTTTAACGCTACATCACCATGATCCAGCTTAATTTATATCACCATGTTCAGTGCATTTGATGCAAGAATCAATGTCTTTTAAACGGTGAAATCATTATTAGGGATTGTAACATGATCATGTTCCTGTGTAAAATCACCCTTTGTGATGGTAAGAATCCTTGTTTTGCTTCGTCAAATTCCCCCGTTTGTTTCGGGTGATCTCGCCGAGGCTTCCAGGCCTTCGCGTTGGGCGTGAAACTCGCCATGCCACGCGTGGCGACCACGATGCTGGCGCTGCTGTCCTTGACGAGTCTCAGGAATCAGGCCGGGGGTACCATTGGATGGGAAAATGGTGGTGTGACATAGGAAAACCATAGGAAAATGGTGGTTTAATGGGATTTAATGGGATTTAATGGGATTACCCTCTGGTAAACTAACAATTTGCTGTGGAAAATCACCATTTTTGATGGGTAAATCATGGTAAATCAACTATTTCGACTGGGCCATTTTCAATAGCTATGTCAGCTATGTTAAATTACCAGAGGGTAATGGGAAATCATCCGCTCACCTGGGGATATAATGGTTACTGATATATATATATATATATGTGTGTGTGTGGGATATATTAATAGGATTATGGTAACTGATATAATGCATTGGATTTATCAAGTCTAATTTCCCATCAGGTCAATGGTAACGAATTATGGTAAATGTCAATGTCCATTAATAGTGATTTTATCGTAAGAGTAGTGATTTTACCACTGGGATCATCCACCATGCAGTCTAGCTGATTTAATGAACTGACTAGTTCATTTAATAATGCTAGTAAAGCAATAGTAAATCACCACTAAATTTACCATACATGCGTGGTATAAACCATCAATCCATATGGAGGAACATCGCACTAAGTAAGTCTCTCTTAAGTGGGGTATCCCATTTATAAATGGCGTGTAGCTTTTGACCCCAGTGGCTAACCAGTTACTAGGAGTGAGATGATCCTCCAAGAAAAAATGTTTGATTCCTAAACTGTCCATTTGCATTCGTTACCCTCCGATATTCAAACATGGTTTGCTGGAAAATCCCTCATTGAGAGATGTATTTCCTATCAACCTCCGTTTTGATAGGGGATTTTCCAGCCAGCCACGTTTGATTACCGGGAGGTAAGCACCTTTGGCATATAGCGGTTACTCATCTCAGGAACCATTGAGATCCCTTGAGTTTATAGTTTATATCGTAACGGCTTTGTAATGGTAATATAGGGGTGACAGCCATTGGGTTTCTACTTGGTTTTGAAAAGATGTCCTGGGACTTATTGGGGACAAAGTCATGGGATTTCTAGTGGTCTTGGGAGGTGGTTTGAGCTCAGTGGCTAGGGAACCCTACACCGAGAGTAAAGTTGGTGTCGCAGAGCGTGTTTCTAGACATATTTATTCTTGATTAATGAAATTAATTGGAACTGCTTGCGGTTCAATGGGGTTAGGTCTAGTATGATTTAGCCATCAATAATGATGTTTAGATAACAATCAAGGAATGGTGATTTGCGACCAGTTGTTTCATGGTATTAATGGGGGATAGCAATAGATTCGATTTTAGATATATAAGTTATAATTAAAGGTGCTGATGATTCTTGATAATTAATTAACGGTTTCCATTCGGTTATATTTGTTTCTACCTAGACGTAATTGAACCAATGTGTCATACTTTCTCGTGCTATATTGGTAGTTGCAGCCAGTGGGTTTATGTATTACATACATACGTAGTGATACATTTTTTTGGTTTAAAAGCAATGGGTATGTACATAGATATGATCTAATTGGGGGTTGATATGGAAAGGAAGACAACGAGGATATAAAACAATAGCATGAGGTAATTTTATTTGTGATTATCCTAAAAAAATGGTGGTCTGACATTGCAATATTATGGGGATATCATGGGAATACAAGTGGAATAAATAACCAACCATTCGGAAAATTTACCCTTGGTATGAAGTACCTTTCATATGGACCCTCCCAATCCATGAAAAGATGCAATATTTAAGCAGGGTTTCTAGGGGCGTGTTTACCAACACTTTATGGAAAATTGTGAGTCAATCGGTGTAATTAATAGTAAAAGATAAAATAGTGGTTTAAAAGCTTGAACATGTGGATTAGCTATCAACTAGTTGGGAATTCACCATAGGATGCATTCAACAATTGGGATATGCCAGGGTTTGCCAACAATATATAGGATAACAGGGGAATAGAACAGGGACATACTGTGACGGATTTGATGGTTAAATCCCAGGAAATTCCTGCTTGTTCATGGTTAAATCCTCCTTTTTCTAAATTACCCCTAATTATCAAGATTCCATTTGATTCGTGTTCAGAACCAATGTTGATTGCTGGTTGGTGATAGTAGAAATATATATATATATATATACAGAGCTAGAATCTGGTGATCAAATTGCTACCAGTATAGCTTTTAATGTTGTACTTGGATTGAGCTATAGATCGCCATACAAACCATATAAACATATATAAACCATATATACTACTATATGGTAGGTAGTTCATTGTTCATTGGAAATAACATTTAAACCATAGCACATTTACATTTAAAAACATTGCTGTCATTATTTTTAGTTTTGATAATAATTCTGCACCATTATCCGGGTCGGGTAAACTTTCCAATTAATTCATACTGCCCAATGATTATCAGAAAACCAATTTTCTTAAAGCATGTAAACCATGTGTACAGCCATATTATTCATGACAACTTGCACAAAAACCCATGGTGACTACCTATTTGATTCAGCTACCCAGGTCATTGCTTTGCTCCCCGGCTCGGGCTCCACCAGCTGGATGGAGGAGATGGCGAGCTTGGCGAGAAAAGATGGGATGAACCGGGGGGTGAACCTCAGATTTCGGAGGTTCACCAGATTTTTTTCTGGTGATTTCCATGGGGATTTTTTTCTGGTGATTTTCTGGTGATTTTTTTCTGGTGATTTTTCAATGATTTTCTGGTGATTGGGATTCAATGGGGATTTTCCATGGGATGTATTTCACCAAGTTGGTGAAGTTCACCGGTGGTCACTCGGTGAATTCTATGGTGCTCATGAGCCAACAATTCACCAACCTGGGACGCATCACCCCTCGGTGATCCCCAAGGATCAGATGGTGAATCATATTAATTGCTATTGTTTTGATATTGTTTTGACTGTTATTTTTCCTGGTTGGTGGTTTGGAACATGGATTTTATATGAATTTATGACTTTCCATATTTTGATAATACCCCCAACTGACGAACTCATATTCTTCAGATGGGTTCAAACCACCAACCAGGCTGTTGTTCAATGTGTTTTAACGTTAGTCCATGCTAATTCCTGATTTTGATGAGTGAACTAGTTGAGCCTCACAATTTAGATTTCCAGCGTTTGAACATGTGCGGGTGTTTGCCCTGCATGTGGGCGTAGTAAAACATGGTTTTTCAACAGGTTCTTCACTAAACTGATTAGTTTGTTTCTGTTTTTTTTGATTTCTTGTGGATTAGTTTGGGCAGTAACAGATGGTTTTGTTTGTGTTTTGTTGTTTGTTTACTGTGCTTCTTTGTTCTTTATGTTTTTTCTCCCGGTTTACATTGTCTTATGTTTGCTTGCGTTTGATGTGTCGCTGTGTCGCGGCGAATGGTTTGCCATAGTACAGGTGCAAGTAAGTACAACGGTCTTTCCAGTTTCCACTTCAAATTTCAGTCACGTATTGTAACTAGCTGTAAATAGCTACAGGCGGGCGCCCACTTCAAGTATTTTTTTTAAACATAGAATCAGTTAGGGATGATACTGCAATCATGAGAGAGAGATATATATATAATATAATAAGTTCCCAGATTAAATTAAATCCCCATATTATTCCATGATCATCCGAGAACTTTCCATACATGTCACATTCTATTGGATTTGCCTCATAAATTACACCCCCTAACTTTAAGATGGAACCCCAAGAATTGCGTTTGGATTTTCAGAAGGTTAAGTTCTACTGGAGACAAACATTTTTGGTTCCATGTTGAAACAAGGGGGTAGAGATTCCTGAGATTCAGTGGGAGGAGTACTTCTTGATTGCCATCTCCTTCATGTTTCTGAACCTGGTCGGCCATGCAGCTTCCTTCCATCTTGATGCCATTGGTCGACATCACACGCAGAAGATGGTCAACAAGCTGCTGGGATTGTTTTTTTTGATGGGTTGCCCATGCCAAGCCTCGGCCGTTGATATGGGGAAAACAACGGCTTTACATGGGGACACATGAGAAATTCAGAAGAGAAATAGACATTTACCACTATTTTACTAGGGTTTACCTTTTTTGCTATTCTATCTTCTTGGGGATTGCTACATGTCTTTTTTTTAATCTGGAGGAGCCAGATGGGTGGTTCGATGCCCTTGGGCCCTCATATCGGGGGGTAGGGCCGCCCAGATATAGTCTCATATGGAAGATGCGGCCAGATTTGAAATCCTGAAGGTGTGACCGCATGGTTTCTTCCATTTCGATTGTGAAGGTGTGCCTCAATTGTTTTACCCCTTTATGTTACGGATGTCGGCTGGTGAACGGCAGGTTGATAGTTTGGTGGCCAACTTTGGTGAATGATTGACGGCTGCTTTAATGAGGTTCTATCTTGTTGGCATTTTTTGGCGGACTGTCTTTTGTTGCTTAAAATATAACCTGTTTGTAGTGTCATGTTTCTGGGATTAAGCATGCGAGCACCTAATCTATCAAGAGCTCCATGTACGTGTGTGCATGTGTACATATACACACACATATTGTGTATATATATATATATACATATTCAAGTAATATATATATATATGTATCTACATAATACACATGTAAATAGTGCACAAATAAGTATATATGTATACATGCAAGTAGCGTAAAACATATAAATATACATATGATTATACATGTGTGTGTATACGTACGTAGTATGTGTATGTGCAATTGTATACAGTATGTGTATATATATATATATATATATATATATGCCTATGTCTTTGCATCCCTCCCCCCTGTGGATGTGGTGGGGTGTGGGTAGCGTGGGTGGGGGGTAACCCCCCAATACCATATGGAGTGGGGGGAGGCCAAGAACACGGGACACGGGACCACATACATATATATATATACATATATATGTATATATATATATATGTATGTATATATATATGTATGTATATATATATATATGTGTATATATATATATGTATGTATATATATATATATATATTTGTGCGTATATGTATACATACGTGGCACATCAGTTTATCTAAGCCCCGCCATGCTCTGACCTTTTCTGTTGGACCATGGCTTGGGCACAGGTTCAATCTCTGGGCCATGTTATGCTTCTTCATCCTGGTGGTAACGGCCCGGCTGCACGTGCGTAACTGCCCAGTGATTGAGCCCGCAGTCACCTTGACCATGACCTTGCTGATGATTTTAGTCACTGGGACGAGAGGAATTTAGGCCATCTGGTAGACCAGCATAGCTATGGACAATCCCCATGTATAGTTGATTCAGCTTTTGAAAAAACTGATTTTCCATAGCAAACTACTAGTTTACCGGAGGCTATCAATGAAATTCATGGTGGCGCAATGGGATATAATGGGGACAAGACGATGGTTCCACCACCCTAGAAGTGGATGACGGGAAAATCTACAAAAAACCTCTCTCTCTCTCTATATATATTATATTTAGAGGTAAGAAGCATGGTTTCTAAATTTTCCCTTGAACCACTCCATTGATAGTCCCGGAATCTGGTGCGCCATGGAATTTGCGGTGGAGCTTGAAGCAACCCCCGTGTCGGTGACACAATAACAATGGATTCTTAGGGACTTATAAACAACCGATTGTTTCAATGGGAATTTCATCACCCTAAAATAAGTACGGTACTGCACCATATATCTCCATATATAAGGCCGTATTTTCTAGGGAATATTCCCTCACATAGCCCTTACATAGGCCTAAAAAAATGGTAAGTCCCTCACCGAAATGGGGTGGTTGAGGCCCAATGAGTGGTGCACATAGATTCAACAACCATTGTAGCTAGAATATGGCCTACCCTCCAGACCCTCCAGCAAACTATATATTTAACTTAGCTATGATAGAAAATCTTCATTTATAGATGATTTAGCCTTAAAATTGGACATTTTCCATAGCTATGTCAGTTTACCAGAGGGTAATACATAAAATTTGCAACATGACATTATTATGTCATGTATATCAGCCATACCATATCAGTTATACTCATCAACCACCATCAGCCATTGTGACGTTTCTTTGCCTCCAGGTGACGATACCACAACCCAGTATTTCGCAAACTAATCATTACTCAAAACTCTCAAAACCATGATAACTGTACCATCCGGCAATCAAATATCGCAATTGGACATTTACCATTTATAGATTTTATAGAAGAATTTCCCATTAAAATCAGCATCGATAGGTGATTTCCAAGCAAGCCATGCTTGATTGCCATTCACTGGAACAATAGCCCAGGTGACAAAAGGCCCAAAAATCAATCCACGGCTATTCACTGCAAACAGAACATCAAGCAACATTCTGCCTAGCATTTCTCCCAGGTGACCCCGATTACATCACCATACATCGTCATTTACCCACCATTTGCCCCTCATTTCCCATGTTTCAGCCAAAAGCTACCCCCAGGTGACACTGTCCGTCCTGATCTTCCTGGTGTGGTACCACCGCTCCGCCTTTCGCGAGGCCGGGCGCCAGTTGACCCACCAGATGGAGGAAGTGTTGCAGAAGGGCCCCAGCGGACACCAACCACACCCGGACAACGTCTGAAAACCACAGCAGGGAGGCAAAACCAGCCAATTCTATTAGGCGATTTGACATGAGTTGATGCGATTCAACCGGAAGATGTAGATTTGATCGGGGTTTGACCTGCAAAAAACGGTAACGAAGTAATACAATTCAAGAAAAAATCACTATATATTAACAGCCAATCATCGGAGATTTCCATCCTCCACAAAAAGGTTGCGGCTAGGACCTCCGGTCCTAGCCGCAAGGACAGCCCAGGGGCTTCGATGACCGCCCAGGAGTGGGTCAAGACAGAAGGCCTTCATTTGAAGGACCATATCGAATAGACAAATCATTTGAGCCAATAAAGATAATGTCAACCCCGGATTAATAAACCATGGTTTATTAATTAGGGGGGTACTCCTCCAATAGTCATTATCTGATACTTAAATGGTACCCTCCCAATTAAACAGCCTAGGGGTTTATCAATCCAGGGTTGACATTACCATTGTTGACATGTTTTTGTTTTTTTCCCCACCTGCCAGGTGAGGGTTGTTAGATTTTATGTCAGTTGCCTCCTCCTCCTCCTGCCTCGTCCTCCTCTCGTCCTCCTCTCCTCCTCCTCCTCTCCTCCTCGTCCTCCTCGTCCTCCTTGTCATCCTTGTCGTCCTCTCGTTGTCCTCGTCGTCCTCGTTGTCCTCCTCGTCCTCCTGCTCAACTGCGACTCGCGATTCACAGTGTTCGCTGCCGGACCTCAACCACGACCATCCACGCCCAGTGTTCCCTGCCGGACCTCAACCACGATCATCCCCGCCCAGTGTTCCTGCCGGACCTCAACCACGACCATCCACGCCCAGTGTTCCCTGCCGGACCTCAACCGCGAGTATCCACGCCAAGTGTTCCCTGCCGGACCTCATGTAGGAAGAAAAAATGTCAGATAGAGTGCCAGAAGATTTGCCAGGTAGAATGCCAGAAAATATGCCAGAAGATATGCCAGATAGATATGCCAGAAGATATTCCAGAAGATATGCCAGATAGAATGCCAGATAGAATGCCAGATAGAATGCCAGAAGATATGTCAGAATATATGCCAGAAGATATGCCAGATAGAATGCCAGATAGAATGCCAGAAGATATGCCAGAAGATATGTCAGAATATATGCCAGAAGATATGCCAGATAGAATGCCAGATAATATGCAAGAAGATATGCCAGATAGAATGCCAGATAGAATGCCAGAAGATTTGCCAGATAGAATGCCAGAAAATATGCCAGAAGATATGCCAGATAGATATGTCAGAAGATATGCCAGAAGATATGCCAGAAGATATGCCAGAAGATATGTCAGAATATATGCCAGAAGATATGTCAGATAGAATGCCAGAAGATATGTCAGAAAATATGCCAGAAGATATGCCAGATAGAATGCCAGATTGAATGCCAGAAGATATGTCAGATAGAATGCCAGAAGATATGCCAGATAGAATGCCAGAAGATTTGCCAGATAGAATGCCAGAAGATATGCCAGATAGAATGCCAAATAGAATGTCAGAAGATATGCCAGATAGAATGCCAGAAGATGTGCCAGTAAGAACATGTATAAATGTCATGGTGGGGATCACACGAAGTAAAGTATTTGTTTTTTTTAAATAGGGTGTTGTACTAACTGGTTTATTGGGAATTAATGATAACCCATAATGATCCACAATGATCCATCATGGGGGTACACCGGGTACCTATCAACCAAGTGCTTGTAGCACAATGAGATGGGATTTGTTTGTTTTTTTGCTGTAAATGGAGGTACGGACCAGCCAGAAATTAACATCTTGTGCAGGGTATTTCAGACAGGCCATAATGACCATATTAAATGGCAGCATGTGTATATACCATCTGGTTATTTAACATAGCCATGGAAAATCACCATTTTTAATAGGTAAACCATCTATACCATGGCTATGTTAGTCATAACCAGAGGGTAGATTTGATCGTTTTTCTCCCAGAAGTCAGAAACACGGTATGTTGAAACATGACGCCACTTTATCAGAAAGCTGGCTGCCATCCCCTGTGACAGCGCATTGCCCATACGTGGCATCTCTGCCGGCCCAGCCAAGACTGGCCGAGTAATTCAGAGGCGACTGGCCGTTGCAAGATTCTAAGCTGGCTGATGCTTCCATGAGATTCCTAGATTTGCTGATTTGTTCATTGGATAGGAAATCCACTACTTGAGGGAATCTATGGGGATCTACAATTAACATAGTGTGTATCCAAGTTTATCCTAATTTATATTTTCCAAATTTGATCCACTATTGGTGGGGTCCTTAAGCAAATCCAAGGATTGTGTGAAGAGATGGAGTCATCACCGTCCACCAGACACCCAGAATGACGCAGTTTTGTCTGTTTCAGACCATGTTAAGGCGTGTTAAGAATTATACAGACAGTATATATGAATATATGAATATATATATATATATATGATATATATATATATATATGATGTATATATATATATATATGATATATATATATATACATGTGTGTGTGCATGGTATATATATATATATACATGATACTCCATGATATGTGATTAGTGTCATGATAAGAATGATTGTTATATAATCCATTGCCATTCCATGACCATAAATCATTACTGCAAGGTCTGCATGGAAATCAGTCAGACAATGTAACCCCTACTACGTGTGCGGAATCGGACTTGGCCAATCAGCATGGCGAAAAAACATGACTGAATGGCGACGATCCCACACTGACGGCCTTGACACGGATCAGTTCACCAACAGCTAATTATGTACTACTTGGATGACCCCAGGAAAGTTGATAGAAATTTCAAAAGGCTATGACACAACACGAATTTCCATCTGTAAAAAGGGCTAGTAGCTCAACACAAAGATAACGCACACGCACCACTTCCCAACAAGATCGCCAGAGGCTGAGTAAAACTTGGTGAGTCATGAATTCATTCATACTCATTTTTAGCTATGAACGGATGCATACTTGAAATTGTTGCAGTTGAAGTATGTTGAACTAATTACTTTGCAAAATTCCTAAGGTTGGCCATCCAGGGATCATCTAGGTACGTAACTTTGAGCAGCAAGCTGCTCTCAGGTGCAGTTTTGGCAAACACCGCCGGCATTCGAATGCACAAGACGTTGCCAGTTGCCGGTGGTTCGTTATCAGACCACGACGCGCGTTATCATTGCTGCAAAAACTTGTAGACTGTCTTTCGAATGGTTTGACCTGTAAAAACCTTACAGAAAAAAACGATGAGGTTGGAGAAGCCAGACGGGCCATACTTCAAAAATGTTTTAACAGTTGCGGACTTGTGGAAATTTGGTAGCATCCAGACTTTGGGGTTGGCAACGGTGGAGATGTCGAATCCAATCTCCCCCAAGCACATGGGCCTTGACAGTCACATGATGTGGGTAAGTCAATGAATACTGGCTTTATCTTCAAAAATCTTAGCTATGAATATGAATGTGTGAAATATGTCGTTCCCGGATATTTGTTTATTTCTGCGATTTATGTATGGTGTTTTTTCCCTGGATGTACCCTCTGAGCTATCCATGGAACATCACAATGTTGAATAGGCAAATCATCATAAATCATCTATAGATGGGCCATAGCTTGACTATGTTAAGTAACCAGAGGGTATCTGGACGTATCTGGGATGGTCGGTAGGAGATGATGTCACCTGGCAGCATCTTCCAGCCGTGGCCAGGTACTGAGTCGCCGTGAACCTCGATGGTACTTCAATCTACAAGGGTTTAGGCAACACTCGATATGTATATATATATATATATATATATATATTCATCCACATTTGAGGCAAGTCCTTGTATGAGCCTATCTATATGCATTTTTTTGTATGTGCATATGTTTATATAGAGGTACAAGTACAAATATATATATATATCTATAAACATGATACCACCTTGAACCAGTGATTGAGGAGCCATCCGAGCTGACACATTTGAACGCCAGAACTTCCAGAGAACGTGGCAGCGTGCTACGGTGCAACTGCAACCCCGAAATAACCAGCTGTGTTTTTGAAGCGGCTTCCATTTTCCAAACAAAGTGTCCCTTGTCGTTTGGTATGACCCCAAGGATTTAAGGTTATCTCTGATGGATGACGTGGCAACGTCCAGTGTTGCTCCTGAGTTGTATTCAAAGTCAACCATCCCGGCATATCTCATCAGCAATTCATGTAATAAAAATCTAGCAATCTGTAACATAATATATATATATACATATACAATCACAATATACACATTTACAATATATATATATATACATATGTGTGTGTGTCTATATATGTCTCTCTCTATATATATATATATATGTGTAATGTACTATGTATAGATATGATTATGTATATTACACAAAGATAGTAACCAATAGGAATCTAATAGCTGCCCATGAAACAATTCCCTCCATCTACGGATCGAACAAATTTGTGCAAATGCAATTGTGTGTTTTCAAGATATCTTCACATGGGCAGTCAATCATCATGCCTGGTAGTTTCAAAATGTTTCAAACATTTTTTTCACCCAGAATGGCCAGAATGGGATTACTACCCTTCTTTCAGTACCTTTGGCTCAACCACGGCCAGTGAATCATTGTTGGCCGAATTCATTTTCGCGAACGGGGAAATCAAATGACATATGGAAAATGGCCTTGAACATGGCCCATTTATAGACTATACAGATATTATTTGCCCAAGAAAAATGGTGATGTTCATTGATTTTCCATAGGTAGGTGGTATTCCTGTTGTTACCACCGTTGCATTGCATGTTCTGGTTTGCTACTACTCAGGTATATTCTCGTCATTTTCCGAATTAGTTGAATGGTATCCCTTCAAGAAGTCTTCCCATTCCCGCCGCTTATTTGACGTGTAACTCAATGACACTACATTAACTGCTCCGTGTTTTTCGGAGCTCATTTCGGACATTTGTCCCCTTGATCGCAGAAACAACTAAACATCATCAGAGAGAGGTACGGCTAGGTTATAAAATTATATAGATCTTCATTATT